CCTGTAAGATAAAGTAGGGTCGTTAAATGTGTCCAAATTATGGGTTGAGACATGGGAGTTTTCATCTCGACTTGTAGCCTGACTGTCAGTTGTTCCGTAGACAGCATCTTGTCAGATATCAGCAACAGCTAGTCAATGCCATCAGCTGTCAATGATCCAGTGATAGTGTTATGTATCTATGGTGTGCTGGTATGTGAGTATTATGTATATACACCAAGGGGGATGTATCACATGTCACTCACAGCACGAGGATCTGCTGGTGTCTCTGACTTGTACTGAACACATCATAGCAGGGATGAGGACAGTTGCTGGGAGCCAGGATACGCAGGGTGACTGCACTGAGAGCATCACTGACACAACATCTAGTCATCAAGGTGCAGCGAGGACGAGCACCCAAATATATCAGGGAGGTCATAAAAGAGCTCATTCCACATCAATCTCAAAGATCAGGCAGCCTGAGCACCTCTTGTCCATGCTGTAATTATGGACAGGACTGTGGAACAATCTCCCTGATCATCTCAAATGCATTTGTCATTGCCATGGTGATTGGATTCAAACTACAAACCTTCTGATCCAAGGCAAGACGCTTTGTCCACATGACCAAAGAGGTTAATCCTGTCAGCAAACTAAGAAGATAAGGATGTCATCTGTGGGATGACTCCACCTGCTGCTGCAAATTCAAGAGCTGTCTTTCTTTAAGACACTTCTTCAGACAGGCATACCACATCTTCCCGAGACAAAGGCATTTACTGACTCTAAAAGTCCTTTTTCCACCCCTGTTGACCTAGGCTGGAATTTCTGGGCTCAATCATAGCTCCACCAGTGGTTATTATGAGTTATGTCCCTTCTATGTCCCTCCTACTGTCACCAATCAGATTCCACCTCTCATATCACTTGCATTTGCTTCAAACAAAATGGCAGTGCCTAGTGAAGACGATCTGATCAATAATCAAGATCTATATTGTAATACAACGGGTCTTGCTTCACAAAGAGCTTCAAATCATGTGAGCATCTTCAATAAAAACAGAAAAAAGATTAGTTAAATAAATATGTGTTGACATCAAGACCAGGAATCTAATGTAGGGTGAACAAGTTCGTGTTAAGCAGTTGAAAACGTCATGAAGCTGATTCTATCTTAATAAGATTATGCACAACTATGAATGCACAAAATCAACTCATTACCATGGAAACCAAGATCAAGTCAAGGTTTCATTCCAGTCTTGGCCGACTAATCTCACCATGCCAAACCAGGCTGTAGCAATGTCGCATCCATACCAGGCTGTAATGCCTCAGATTTGAGACATCTAAAAATATAATTACTGTTGGCTGAAATGGACCATATCTTGAAAGACTAAGCTGGTAATAAATGCATGGACAAAATCAAATCCAGTAGTTAATACACAAAAATGATCATGACGAGTATACCCCTGGCAACCGATAGCAAATACAATACACTAAGTTTTACCAGTCTGTTAATGTTGATGATGTGTTTGAGGGACATTCAGCATCCCTGTATACCGAGGCAGCTTCATCAGACAGATGCATCATCGTGTAGTCGTCAGGGTGTATTCCTGAAGCAGGTAGCATGATGCTGTACAAGATTCCACCGCCGAGAGGAGGCTGATGATTGTAGGAGGGCTTCACTCACTGGTCCATCCCTCTGCTGTTGGCCAGATACTTTGCCCAGATGGGAATGTGCTCGTGTCCCACAAAACATGAAACATTACTTTGTTCTGAACATTATTGTTGGTACAACTGTGAAATACATGAATACAGCGGATAACTTCGGGATGAAACAATCCAGTTGTTGAGAACACACACAAACCAGGCCACACCTGGACAACCTAGTCATACTACACTGGAAACAAACATATTATGTATTACCGGTATATATATGATAAGTTGTAGCAGGATCACTAGGGGTAACGGGGTTTTATGTGTCCCGCATCAGGTTTTATACCACTCGCCATACGAATGTATCTTACCAACATGTTTAAATGTGACATTGTAAAAGAATTAACACATAATCAAAATTGAAAGAAAACAGCTGTTCGATTGAGCTGAGTTTAACTTGTGCTATGTCAATTACTTCCATTGCCCCGGAAAAGCTTGCAGATTTTTGCTTTTAAGCGGGATATAAGGGATTTATTCTGGCTCTCTATGTGAGCCTGTCCTGCTCATGGCGAGGTATAAGAGATTTATTCCTGTAGTGTGCAATGTTAAGAAACACTCTTGTTTGTTTAAGGTTCATACTTGTTCTAATATTTGCTTGTGAAAAGTGCTATATCTTATAAACCAGCTAGAGTTATAGCCCTTTGATTCTGTGTGACATGGCATCCAAAGTAAGCATTTACTGAAAACTCAGTTGTTCATTCTGTCAACATGTGGATAGCATCATCATCCATCACAATTCCCCTCCTGAGAAATATATTACCCTCCAATGCGGGTTACACAGTATTTTTTCAAGATGACATGGACCAATCAGATCTCTTCATTCTGACATGGAGGTATGATAAGGTTTTTTTATCCACCCTTGAAAAGTCATGACATACCACCTGTGGTGACCTATGATATACTTATGATATACCCCGTGTTGACTATGGTATACTTGTAATATACATGTACCACCCGTGTTTACCTGAGATATACCGACTGTGATGACCATGATATACTCATGATATACCCCGCGTTGACTATGGTATACTTGTAATATACATGTACCACCCGTGTTTACCGGAGATATACCGACTGTGATGACCATGATATACTCATGATATACCCCGCGTTGACTATGGTATACTTGTAATATACATGTACCACCCGTGTTTACTCGAGATATACCGACTGTGATGACCATGATATACTCATGATATACCCCGCGTTGACTATGGTATACTTGTAATATACATGTACCACCCGTGTTTACCTGAGATATACCGACTGTGATGACCATGATATACTCATGATATACCCCGCATTGACTATGGTATACTTGTAATATACATGTACCACCCGTGTTTACTCGAGATATACCGACTGTGATGACCATGATATACTCATGATATACCCTGCGTTGACTTTGGTATACTTGTAATATACATGTACCACCCGTGTTTACTCGAGATATACCGACTGTGATGACCATGATATACTCATGATATCCCCCGCATTGACTATGGTATACTTGTAATATACATGTACCACCCGTGTTTACTCGAGATATACCGACTGTGATGACCATGATATACTCATGATACACCCTGCGTTGACTTTGGTATACTTGTAATATACATGTACCACCCGTGTTTACTCGAGATATACCGACTGTGATGACCATGATATACTCATGATATACCCCGCATTGACTATGGTATACTTGTATTATACATGTACCACCCGTGTTTACCTGAGATATACCGACTGTGATGACCATGATATACTCATGATATACCCCGCGTTGACTATGGTATACTTGTAATTTACATGTACCAACCGTGTTTACCAGAGATATACCGACTGTGATGACCATGACATACTCATGATATACCCCGCATTGACTATGGTATACTTGTAATTTACATGTACCACCCGTGTTTACCTGAGATATACCGACTGTGATGACCATGATATACTCATGATATACCCCGCGTTGACTATGGTATACTTGTAATATACATGTACCACCCGTGTTTACCCCAGATATACTGACTGTGATGACCATGATATACTCATGATATACCCCGCGTTGGCTATGGTATACTTGTAATATACATGTACCACCCGTGTTTACCTGAGATATACCGACTGTGATGACCATGATATACTCATGATATACCCCGCGTTGACTATGGTATACTTGTATTATACATGTACCACCCGTGTTTACCTGAGATATACCGACTGTGATGACCATGATATACTCATGATATACCCCGCATTGACTATGGTATACTTGTAATATACATGTACCACCCGTGTTTACCTGAGATATACCGACTGTGATGACCATGATATACTCATGATATACCCCGCGTTGACTATGGTATACTTGTAATTTACATGTACCACCCGTGTTTACCTGAGATATACCGACTGTGATGACCATGATATACTCATGATATACCCCGCATTGACTATGGTATACTTGTAATATACATGTACCACCCGTGTTTACCCGAGATATACCGACTGTGATGACCATGATATACTCATGATATACCCCGCGTTGACTATGGTATACTTGTAATATACATGTACCACCTGTTTTTCCTCGAGATATACCGACTGTGATGACCATGATATACTCATGATATACCCCGCGTTGACTATGGTATACTTGTATTATACATGTACCACCCGTGTTTACCTGAGATATACTGACTGTGATGACCATGATATACTCATGATATACCCTGCGTTGACTATGGTATACTTGTAATTTACATGTACCAACCGTGTTTACCAGAGATATACCGACTGTGATGACCATGATATACTCATGATATACCCTGCGTTGACTATGGTATACTTGTAATTTACATGTACCAACCGTGTTTACCCGAGATATACCGACTGTGATGACCATGATATACTCATGATATACCCCGCGTTGACTATGGTATACTTGTAATTTACATGTACCAACCCTGTTTACCAGAGATATACCGACTGTGATGACCATGATATACTCATGATAGACCCTGCGTTGACTATGGTATACTTGTAATTTACATGTACCAACCGTGTTTACCAGAGATATACCGACTGTGATGACCATGATATACTCATGATATACCCCGCGTTGACTATGGTATACTTGTAATTTACATGTACCAACCGTGTTTACCAGAGATATACCGACTGTGATGACCATGATATACTCATGATATACCCTGCGTTGACTATGGTATACTTGTAATTTACATGTACCAACCGTGTTTACCCGAGATATACCGACTGTGATGACCATGATATACTCACGCTCTGTCCTTGTGTTGCAGACATCAGCAGTGTGCCAGGAGTGGTCCCTATCACACAGGACACGCCCAACTGGAAGCGAGAGATGGTAGAAAAGAAGAACAGAGAGAAGATAGAGGAATATGTTGTACGTAGAAGCTCATGTTGGATGTGTGTTGGAGATAGCGAGTGGGGGCTTGCTCAACTGGTGTAACTCGAGACCCTGGAGTGAATGTCCCAAACTGTCATCCATACTTTACCAGTCTGTTAAAGGTCAAGGTCAGACTACTATGTGAGGAACAGTCGTGTCAATGAATGAGGGCTGATCTGATTGATGTTATGTAACACATGCTGGGGGCTGATCTGATTGATGTTATGTAACACATGTTGGGGGCTGAACATGGAACAGGGAAATAGTTTGACCTGCCACAATTACACACAATGGAAATAGTGAAGAGCCTCTTGAAAAAGCCCCTGCTATCATAAATGTTCTGCAACACAAAGGATGTGCACATTGCTCCTGCAGCAAACTCCTCGACTATATTTTGAAATGTAGTCTTAGTTCGCCTTCATGATCAGGAAACGCTCTGACAGTGAAAGTCGGTGAATAACAGGCAGTAATGTACTACAAGACTTATGGTCGTCAGCTCATTTACCACTATAAGGTTTCAAAATAGAAACCACATGAACCAAACAGCTGCGGGGACTTAGATTTATTCCATTTGATGTTTCTTGCAGGATTCAGAACGGGTTCAGATCAAACATTTCAGGGTGCAATGAATTTCCGAAGGAGGGAGGTTGAGTTTGTTTGTTTGTGTTGCAGAGGAAGATCCTGCGGGAGAGGGAGGAGCAGGCCAAGTGGAAGGACGTCCCAGAGTGGAAGAGGAAGATCCTCATGAAGAAGTCCCAGGAGGTAATGTCTGAGTTCCCCACAGCTCCCACCACTGTATCCTGAGTTCAACACACTCTGTATATTACAAAACTCCCGACTGTGAATAGGTGGCCACAACCATGCTTGGAGTTGACCTTGCAGCCGAATGACCGTTATGTTTAAAAACAAGTGACGACTGTCGTGATGCCGAATACACTTACCACTGATAAATTACTGTTCTTTGCTTGTCAATTTGAATTTCTGTTTCATTGAAACTATCGTGTTATTGATATAGTTAGAATGTAAGGGAGAAGATGGTTGATTTTCCGTTAGTCTGCAATCTCGAACCAATCTGATTATTAAAACAACAAAGTAAATTCATCTGGAAAACATGGTCAGTCGTAAACCTTTTCAAAATGAAATATGATGGCATTCCCAAAGACATAAACAAAAGTATAAACTTTACTACATATGGGGTTACAGGGCAAATTTCAAGATTCTTGTAATGGCCGCGCCCACACTGGTTTGCAGCGAAGTTACCGAGAGTGTAACAAAGGTGTCACGCGCTGGGAAGGACCTTGCGCCAGAAACCTATGATTGTGGGTTCGAATCCTGGTTTGCCCCAATTACGTTTCTAGGTTTGTCAGCACCATACCATGCTCTTTGGTTTCACCAAAGTGGTAAACGTCCAAGGCCTGTATTACTTCGGGCTTTCCTCCCACATTAAGTTGACACGCCGTGATATAACTGGAATATTGTTAAAAGCGGCGTGAAACCCATCTCACTCACTCACTGTATACTCTATATACTGATGGGAGGAGATAAGGGAACATGTCCAGAGGGTAGTTTGCTTCATGTTGCCTTTCTTATTTCCATCAGTATATAGCCATAGGTCATTGGTAGACAGGCACATTGCTGTGGAAAGTCTGAAATGTTCTACTCATCTCTTTGATGCTGTAGACAAGAAGCAGTTAACAATGTTGTACATGTTTCGTATAGTTGTAACTCAATAAACCTGAGTCTCGTCTACATGCACTACTCTACCACTGGTGCTTTGTGGTGACATTTACTCACTCACTCTACAGGACCAACTTGCAGCTGTAATGTTATGTTGACAATGATTTTAAATACCTGTCACTTACTCTCACTCACTCTCACTTTCTCCTCCTACAGGAACAGGATGCAGCTCTGGCCAAGGATGTTCCAGAGGAGCCTAAAGTAGTTGTAGGGAAGAAAGCCCCACAGATTGAGCGCCCCTCCAACACTGACTGTGGTGTCCCCAAGACAAACGCCAACATTACCCCTGCTGCCATGGCGATGGACCCTGCAGAACTGGAGAGCATGCCGCCATGGAAACGAGAGCTCTTGTTCAAGAGAGAGAAAGTACCAATGACATTTTTCAACGAATTTAATCCTGACGATGAAGAGGAAGCACCTCCGAGTTGATTGGTTAAAAATGTGATATTTTTTTCTGCTGATCATTTTCTCGGAAACAAGACGAAAAGTGAACAAAATTACTGAGGTGTTTCTGTGTCTTCTACTGGAGCAGAACAGGGTTCCAGGCGACACAGATGTGACGCGCGACACACGTGTCAGCAACACAGACATTTGTGTCAATGCGACCTTCACGACAAGGTCACTCATTGTATCATGTACATGTAGCTGTGTCCGTCAATGTTGTGTCTTGGATGTGTGTCGGCTATGTCTTGGTCAAGGTCAAGGTCAGTGAAGGCTATTGTTCTTGTTGGATGACCTCTGTGACCTCTAGGACTGGCAAAGACCTGAATGACTGTATATTTATAACCAATCCCGCAGCATTTTGCATATTATTGTTGTGTGTTGCTTAGCAACAGCTACAGAATCTGCCAATCAAAATTCTTTTGTATGCATTTATAACATATTTATGAATCAAACAAACAAACACAGTGTTTAGAGAAAGACTGATATACTTAATTCCTGCTAGGTGCAACAAAATCTATGCAGTTTATTTCCATGTTTGATTCAGATTACAAGCACCTCTGTCTGTGCCACATGGGTCATCTCTCCGTGGTGCGCTGTGGAGGTACTGCTGTCTGCAGTGTCAAGCATAATACTGGTTTGTCAGATGGATTTTGAAAAATAAATAAAATCAGGGAATTCCGGCACAGCCTCACCTATGTGCCAACACCAGAACAACACCCCCAGTGACACACCGCAAGACAGTGTCGGATGTCACCAGTGTCAGACATCACCAGTGACACACACCGCAAGACAGTGTCAGACATCACCAGTGTCAGACATCACCAGTGTCAGACATCACCAGTGTCAGACATCACCAGTGACACACACCGCAAGACAGTGTAGGACATCACCAGTGTCAGACATCACCAGTGTCAGACATTACCAGTGTCAGACATCACAAGTGACACACACCGCAAGACAGTGTAGGACATCACCAGTGTTGTACAAGACAGTTTTCTCCATCGCGGGTGTTTTACAAAACCAGACAGTGTCGGACTTCTTCTAGCCAGTAGGTGGACGCCACTAGTTGCTTCCAGCTGAAGTGTCTGTGACGTTGTCAGGGAAGAGTCTCTATGTCAGCCTGTGTACTGGTCTGTTGTACATGGGTATTTGTCACTCTACATTTTATATGGATGTTTTTTTACATGAATGTAATGATTACCAGCAAGTGAACTTGTCAAATGTGTAGAAGTTGTTGGTGTTAGAGAGAAAGGTCTTCCAATGGATTGACTAACACAGGGTCTGTCTGCATAACACTGACCTCTGTCTCACCCTTGTGGGAGATTGAGTCTACATAACACTGACCTCTGTTTCACCCTTGTGGGAGATTGAGTCTACATAACACTGACCTCTGTCTCACCCTTGTGGGTTAAGACTTACCTCTGTCTAACCCTTGTGAGAGATTGAGTCTGCATAACACTGACCTCTGTTTCACCATTGTGGGAGATTGAGTCTACATAACACTGACCTCTGTTTCACCCTTGTGGGAGATTGAGTCTACATAACACTGACCTCTGTCTCACCCTTGTGGGTTAAGACTTACCTCTGTCTAACCCTTGTGAGAGATTGAGTCTGCATAACACTGACCTCTGTTTCACCATTGTGGGAGATTGTGTCTACATAACACTGACCTCTGTCTCACCCTGGTGGGTTAAGACTTACCTCTGTCTCCCCCTTGTGAGAGATTGAGTCTGCATATGTCTTGCCAAAGCCTGTTGTGGGAATGTCTGTGAGTCTACTCAGTTAAACAGGGAAGTCTGATATTATGTGTTTATGAAACTAGCAGCGATGTTCCTGTTATTTCCCTGTTCCCCTGTTCCTTGTCCAGTCATCAGAGAGCCTGAGCACAATGCAATGGGTGAAATATCTTCCTGTTACCGACAACAATGGTGGATCAAGGCAGGTTTGTCCCTATACATGTTGCCCCCCCTACCCCCCCAGCCCACCACCACACACACACCATCTATCGTTAGATTGTATTATTGAAACCTCCCAGCCCACCATTAGACACACACCATCTATTGTTAGATTGTATTATTGAAACCTCCCAGCCCACCATTAGACACACACCATCTATTGTTAGATTGTATTATTGAAACCTCCCAGCGAACCATTAGACACACACCATCTATTGTTAGATTGTATTATTGAAACCTCCCAGCGAACCATTAGACACACACCATCTATTGTTAGATTGTATTATTGAAACCCTCTCAGCCCACCATTAGACACACACCACCTATTGTTAGAATCTCACTATCAGAGAATTTATGTCTTCCAGTGAACATTATTGGTAATTCAGTCATGATGTGTGTACGCTGTGTTGTGTAGACAGGCCCACACAACTTGCTGTCATATAGCTGGAATATTGCTTAGTGCGGTATTAAACAACAAATAAAACACATAGCTTAACCGGCCCACACATTACTTACACACTGTGTTGTGCAAACCGGCCCACACGTGACTAACTGTATTGTGCAGACCGGCCCACACATGACTTACACACTGTATTGTGCAGACTGGCCCACACATGACTTACACACCGTGTTGTGCAGACCGGCCCACACATGACTTACACACTGTGTTGTGCAGACCGGCCCACACATGACTTACACACTGTGTTGTGCAGACTGGCCCACACATGACTTACACACTGTTGTGCAGACCTGCCCACACATGACTTACACACTGTGTTGTGCAGACCGGCCCACACATGACTTACACGCTGTGTTGTGCAGACCGGCCCACACATGACTTACACACTGTTGTGCAGACCGGCCCACACATGACTTACACGCTGTGTTGTGCAGACCGGCCCACACATGACTTACACACTGTTGTGCAGACCGGCCCACACATGACTTACACACTGTGTTGTGCAGACAGGCCCACACATGACTTACACACTGTGTTGTGCAGACTGGCCCACACATGACTTACACACTGTGTTGTGCAGACCGGCCCACACATGACTTACACACTGTGTTGTGCAGACCTGCCCACACATGACTTACACACTGTGTTGTGCAGACCTGCCCACACATGACTTACTCAATATATGTCCCATTTGATGTAGTGGAATGGATTTTGTAATGCAGTATTTTGTTGTGGTAAATCTCCGTGACAGATTCAAGTAGAACTATCTTTTACATACACCTGTATTTTGGATACTTTATGACATATTTATTGCTTTTATCTGCAGCTATGCACGGAGTGGCTCTCTATTCAGAGATAGATGTCCTGTGCTTGGTACTCCCGGATGTAGACTCCATCGGGTACATCCCAGTTTAAACAAACCTAATGTAGATATGTACTGGCACAGGAGCGTTAACCCTGGCCTCCTTTCAGACTCATTAGATATGCATGTTCGTCATTTAGTTTAATTTTTGGGTTGTTTGTAACTTGAATGACAAAATCAAGATTTGAACTTCACAGCGGTAAGCATTTGTTGCAGTTTAGTTTGTGTTCAAGTTTTACTCAAAAATTAATTTTGTATAACATTTATTGTTCATTTGTAGCAGATTATCTTAAATATTTGGTGCTGAACCATTGAGTATTGACAATCATAACCGCTCAAAGCCTGCTTTATGTATCACAGTTGTGTGGTGGACAGGATTCAGTAAGTCCTGGCTCCTGCTGATGTATGGGGAACTACTCTGACTCAGTATCTTCATGGGCCTTATTCCTCATGGTGACCCCAGCTCTACAGCTCTCTGTGATTCACGAAACTCAATGGCTATAGCTCTACAGCTCTCTGTGATTCACGAGATTCAATTGTTATAGCTCTACAGCTCTCTAGAGTCTGTGATTCACGAGATTCAATGGTTATAGCTCTACAGCTCTCTAGTGTCTGTGATTCACGAGATTCAATTGTTATAGCTCTATGACTATCTGGAGTCTGTGATTCACGATATTCTATTGTTATAGCTCTATGACTATCTGGAGTCTGTGATTCACGATATTCTATTGTTATAGCTCTATGACTATCTGGAGTCTGTGATTCACGATATTCTATTGTTATAGCTCTATGACTATCTGGAGTCTGTGATTCATGAGATTCATTCATCATAGTGCTCAGTTGACCTTGTGGAATGAGGTACTGTGACCTTGTTGACCTATGTGACAGTCAAGGTCAGTGTCACAAGGAAATACTGGTAGAGATTTTCCCGGAAGTTTGCTGCTAAGAGTTTTATGAAGGATGCAGTCATGTCTTGCTTTGACAGCAGCTGCATGCTACACCCATCTATGTTTACAGTATTTGCTCTACCCCCAACAGTATTGTACATCACCATCAGTATTGACCAGCCGGGCTCACAGATTCACCAGCCATGTTTAGGCTTCCAGTTCCGACACAATGAAATCCAACTAAACACAGCTGCCATCCAGCACCAGCTCTGACTCGGTGAAATCCAACTAGAACACAGCTGCCATCTAGCACCAGCTCCGACTCGGTGCATGACAGACTGAGTCAACTCCCAGAACATACTGAACCCTTCTCATGTATGTAGGATGGCCATCAGGTTGTTAATGCTTGCAAAGAAGGTAGTTTGTTGGTTTTTCAAAGTCACATTATCTACGGTTTCTATTTCATGGGAGGTCAAATATACTCATACTGATTTTGTAAACAACTATTTATTGGATGTATACTTGTGACAGCTTTTGATGCAAACCTGCTGTATACTTAACACCCTACATCAGCCTGACTGACCTTGACCTAGTGACCTTGGAAATAGAGAGCAGACTTTACGTAACTGAAATGTGCTTTGACACAAACATTTGACGGAGTTCGTGGATTGTTCCTTGAAATTTCTTGTTTTAATGATAATCATAAAGTGCTCATCAAGGTCAAGGTCATTTATCAATGTCACTTCTGTGGCAGCAGGCTCCCAATATGCTCTAACACAGTGGAGCTCGGCCCCCATCAATCTCATCCGTACATGCAAGTGTGCCAACCGATTCAACCACCGATGCCCTCTTTTGTTCCACCCAAACTTTGTTTTACTGATGTAGGCCTCCCCTGCATGCTTCGTTGTATGACTTGCTGCCCCGCGTAGACCACCTTGCAATGAGAACCGGTTTGATTGGGTTCGTATATTTACACATTACACCTGTCTGTAGATATTTTCCTGAAATGCTCAGATTTTCAGAACTTTAGTATTTTCCAGCCTTTACCTGTTCTTATTTGTAGATATATTTTTTGTGTTTTATGTACAGAATTGTCACTTACTGGTCATGAAAATAAACATTTTCATCCACATCTTGTGTAGAGTGGTTCGTTATTGGTTGTGACACAGCTCACCTTTACATCTGAAAACATTCATGCATCAGTTGTTCTAAATACCTATCTTAACTACTCTTTTACACACACCAATATACTTTTTACATAGCACCACACATGTGTTTCTGATTAATTTCTGGAAATTTGACAGACATTTCAGTAAAAAGTTTACAATAGGTACCTTTTAGAATGATGTAATGAGACAAAATTTATATGAGTAAATGTCCAAGACACATTGACACAGACCTCTCACCATGCTTCATGATCTCATAGTGAACACAAAGTCCAACAGATAGGCACTGAAACCTTCTATGATAATGAACATGGGAACAAGGGCTATTCACTGGAGTTGATCAACATTTATTCCTGGATATTGAAGGGATATCATATGCATGGATATCTGCCTAACAGAACTCCCCTCCACTCCCCTCACAGGAGTATCTGCCTTACAGAACTCCCCTCCCCTCACAGGAATATCTGCCTAACAGAACTCCCCTCCACTCCCCTCACAAATATATCTGCCTTACAGAACTCCCCTCCCCTCCAATCACAGGGATATCTGCCTGACAGAACTCCCCTCCCCTCCAATCACAGGGATATCTGCCTGACAGAACTCCCCTCTCCTCCCCTCACAGGGATATCTGCCTAACAGAACTCCTCTCTGCTCCCCTCACAGGGATATTTTCCTAACAGAACTCCCCTCCCCTCCAATCACAGGGATATCTGCCTTACAGAACTCCCCTCCCCTCCAATCACAGGGATATCTGCCTGACAGAACTCCCCTCCACTCCCCTCACAAGAATATCTGCCTAACAGAACTCCCCTCCCCTCGAATCACAGGGATATCTGCCTTACAGAACTCCCCTCCCCTCCAATCACAGGGATATCTGCCTGACAGAACTCCCCTCCACTCCAACCACAGGGATATCTGCCTGACAGAGCTCCCCTCCACTCCCCTCACAGGGATATCTGCCTAACAGAACTCCCCTCCCCTCCAATCACAGGGATATCTGCCTTACAGAACTCCCCTCCCCTCCAATCACAGGGATATCTGCCTAACAGAACTCCCCTCCCCTCCCCTCCAATCACAGGGATATCTGCCTTACAGAACTCCCCTCCCCTTCAATCACAGGGATATCCGCCTAACAGAACTCCCCTCCCCTCCCCTCCAATCACAGGGATATCTGCCTAACAGAACTCCTCTCTGCTCCCCTCACAGGGATATTTTCCTAACAGAACTCCCCTCCCCTCCAATCACAGGGATATCTGCCTTACAGAACTCCCCTCCCCTCCAATCACAGGGATATCTGCCTTACAGAGCTCCCCTCCCCTCCAATCACAGGGTTATCGACCTAACAGAGCTCCCCTCCCCTCCAATCACAGGGATATCTGCCTGACAGAACTCCCCTCCCCTCAAATCACAGGGATATCTGCCTGACAGAACTCCCCTCCACTCCAATCACAGGGATATCTGCCTTACAGAACTCCCCTCCCCTCCAATCACAGGGATCTCTGCCTGACAGAACTCCCCTCCACTCCAATCACAGGGATATCTGCCTGACAGGACTCCCCTCTCCTCCCCTCACAGGGATATCTGCCTAACAGAACTCCCCTCCCCTCCAATCACTGGGATATCTGCCTGACAGAACTCCCCTTTCCTCCAATCACAGGGATATCTGCCTTACAGAACTCCCCTCCACTCCCCTCACAGGGATATCTGCCTAACAGAGCTCCCCTCCACTCCCCTCACAGGGATATCTGCCTAACAGAGCTCCCCTCTCCTCCCCTCACAGGGATATCTGCCTAACAGAACTACCCTCTCCTCCCCTCACAGGGATATCTGCCTAACAGAACTCCTCTCTGCTCCCCTCACAGGGATATTTTCCTAACAGAACTCCCCTCCCCTCCAATCACAGGGATATCTGCCTTACAGAACTCCCCTCCCCTCCAATCACAGGGATATCTGCCTGACAGAACTCCCCTCCACTCCCCTCACAAGAATATCTGCCTAACAGAACTCCCCTCCCCTCGAATCACAGGGATATCTGCCTTACAGAACTCCCCTCCCCTCCAATCACAGGGATATCTGCCTGACAGAACTCCCCTCCACTCCAACCACAGGGATATCTGCCGGACAGAGCTCCCCTCCACTCCCCTCACAGGGATATCTGCCTAACAGAACTCCCCTTTCCTCCAATCACAGGGATATCTGCCTAACAGAACTCCTCTCTGCTCCCCTCACAGGGATATTTTCCTAACAGAACTCCCCTCCCCTCCAATCACAGGGATAATTCTTGTGAATACCTCACCTCTATCACATCAGTGCCATAAATTCCTGTTTATGCTGAGAACCACACTATAAATTTTTATAAATTTTCAACAGACGTCCACTACACTGCCAATATATCCATAGTTGTGAGGGAAACCCTATCCCTTGCCAGAGGCGCCACTGCGCATGCGCAAGGCGGGAATCTAGTCACTTCTTTCCTGTGTGTCCTGATGACAACAAGGAAAATTTTTTTGTTGCACATCCGAACACGTGATTGCGTTCCACACTACAAGCATTAGATCATCTCAAGCTTCATAGATTACAAGCAAAGAGCAGTTCTACAAGCAGAACGGGGGTATAGAAGATCGGAGTCTCTAGTAAGTAATTAGTTAAGAAAGGTGTTGTGGGATGAGATCTTCATCTCATAAGCAGACACCTGTCTGTTCGGGCTGTGGACAACACCAAGCTCCGGGGGATCCTCACCCTAGATGTCTCGCATGCAAGAAAAGCAGCTGTACACAGAAGTCAAGGTGCAGTTATTGCGAGCATCTGTCAAAAGAAAAATTTGACAAGCTCTCCAAGGCATGGATCAAAAATCCCGATTTTAAGAAAGTCACTAGAGCATCTACATCAAGAAAACAAGTGATTAAGCCCGAGGCGGCAAAAATTAATCACGTGGGTGACAAGCGAGTGTCGCGCGAGGGCGCCATCTCACCTTATGAGGAGAAGAGATCACGTCGCTCATCCCACTCTCCCTATAATGTTGAGGAGCAGATGCATGTTACAGGTCAATCAGAAAGTACCTCTAACTTGCATCCGGCAACGTCTGGTACGGTCGATCGTCGAGTTTGGACAGAAACTAACGACTTTCACCCTCTGCCGCGTTCCCCCTTTAACGTAAATGAGTTCACGGAAAGAATAACAAATTCTATGTCTGTTATGATTGACACACGCATGCAATCTATGTCTCGAGAAATCTCAGATCTAAAAGAATCAGTTAATCAAACTCGGCTTGGCCAATCAGGGATCGATCACGAGAGTAAACAGAGATCTAAGGCTGAATATGGCAGTACACCCTCATACAGCAGACATGTAAAGCAAGGTTACGATGAATCAGACTATGAGGACAGTAGGAGAATTATACTAAGAGACCGAGAATCTCATAGATCTTCTCCCTACCACGCATACCATAGGGATCACCGTGAATCACGGTCTTCACACCGAAGTATGCATAGAAATACGCACCAATCACCGTCAAGCCACTATGATAGACGCACTGACAAAGCTCGTGCATATCAGGATAGTAATCCTAAGCGTGCACCCTCTCATACTGCCACACAGTCCTGTTATACGGGCGAAGAAAGCGAGGGAAATATGACATCACCATACAGTTATAGACCACGTGATTCTCGCACAGCTTGTCGTAAATTAGACGGCCGGGATTACGATACCCTCAGCCATACGACCCACTCCCAGCACAGCCAGAGTAGGGGGTGCCGATCTACACAGGAGCATTCAGGCTATGGGGACACTGCTATAGAGGAGGATTTTAGATCAAACAATTACTCCCTTAGAGACATCTTAGCAGAACTTTATGAACTAATGCCCACATTAAAACCAGATCAGGACTGTACACCCGTTAAACCCTTGATTGAACGTGCAGGATATGAGGGACCCGATAAAGGGACCGAACCATACCATACGCTTCCCCCTCCGTCATATTTGGATGACGTCATCAAGAAAATTGAAAATCAATTGAATTGTTCAGCGGGACCTAGTGCGAAACTGAGACCTGTATTTATAAAATCTGCTTACAAAACACATGATGATCCGTTCTCACTACAGCCTAGCATTGACGAAGATTACTTCGATCTGGTTAAGAAACCTAACCCCAATATGCGCATTGATATGTCCAAGATCAAGAGCTTAGATAGGGTCAATAGACAAATGATGAATACCAGTTCTTACATCAACTGGTTAGCAGCTGGTATTCGCCATGTCATACCACCGTGCAACCAGAGCGAAGATCTTACCTTAGACACTTCCACGGAGATGACTAGTCAGAAGACGGGATTTATCCACAGCTCGTTAGACCACATACTGAAGATGCAGGAAGACCTCCTATCAACTCAAGTATGGATGTCATCGCAGTTTTTGATCATGCAAAGAAGACACTTACTTCAGCAAGTTCATCATGTGATGCCAGACCCCTTAAAGAGATCCATGATGTCACAGCCCATTACGTCATCGCAGATTTTCAACGGTAGACTGAAGTCGGTGAAGGAAGCCATTATCTCTTCAACTAACCAGAGATTTCAGGAATCCACCATCTCATTAGCATCCAAGTTACAGAGACAACCGGCGGTTACTCGACCCCAGCGACGGAGTCCTGGACCCCGACGTGAACAGCCCAGCCGGGATTCTTTTCGAGCCTCTACACAGAGAAACAGATCGTATCAACCCAGGTACAAGAGCTCCAAAGTTGATCTTCCCACTTCACAGAAAGGACTTGGCAGAGGAAGAGGCAGTTCCCGTAGGGGCCCCCTCCGGAGATGACTTCACCATAAATCTACAGACCCATCCAGATCCTACCGACTTCGCCTGCCCTACGGACAACGATTTAGCATTACGGAAGACCAAGGACAAGTCTATTCCAAATCCAGTCGAACTAGCCAACCTTACAAACATCGACTCAAGACTTCCCAAGTTC